TCGGGGGGTGGGAGGAGGGGGGTGAATTTATAGGTGGAAGGGGGGGTGGGGGTGGGTTACAGAGTAAGCAAAGGTTGAACGCAAATATCCGGGTTGGGCTCGTTGCCAAAAAACCGAGTTTCCTTGGTCAGCTGAAGGGACGGATGGGCAATAAGCGCCGATTGAGACTAAGGGGGTGAAAAGAATTGTTAAGGGCTTGGGCCCCGAGAATCTGGGATGAGTGGTGGAAACAGGACGAGATCATGGTGTAGTAATACGTTGGTACATAAGGAAGGCGACCGTCACGCCAGCACGCTGTCACGGATGTACACGTTGAACCCACTTGCAAACTACTATTTTTCAATTCTTTTGGTGGCAGATCTGTGATGGTTTTGGGAGACAGATTAGATGCGGTCTAGTTCTATCTGGATTTCGGTTGTTTTGTATGAAAATGTATTTGCATATATCGTATGCAACCCTCCCCAATAATTATGCGTATTCGGCATTCGGAAATGCCTCACGGATGAGGGTCATTGGCAATTTGATTAGGCCTCATCCCCCCGATAAAGTTGCGCATTCCCTAGGGGTTCGCTCGGCTGCATTACAGCAAGGCTACTCTTCCCGCAAAAGTCATGAGAGGGTGAGGGGAGGGGAGGGGAGGGGGGGTCAAAACCCCAAAAATCACATATACATTTGTGAAATCAAACACGAATTGGACCCAAAAGAAGGTGAACACGCACGCGCGTTTTACGGGGTTCTTGTATGTCAGTCAGGGCTTGTCTCGCGTGGAACTGGCAGGACCACGAACACTATTCGTGTTTTGCTGACACGCGCGCGAGCTTAGTTCGTGTTTTGTGAACGGGGCAGCTTTCAAGCTTGATCATCACGGAATGATGTAATAGATCAGTGATTAAAAAAATCAAAGTATAAGGTTGTTTACGACGAGGACGGTTATCTCACGCCCTTGCTTCGATAGTATCAAGGACCTTGATGGGCGGCCACTGTGTTCGGGCGTGTACACGCCCCTTGCAACGGGAAATCCTGCCTGTTCAGCATATCCTGATGTGGCAAAAACAGGCTGTTCCTCCTAAAGTTTAGTCCCTAACCATTTATTGAGCTACAGTTCATTATAGTAGCTTACGCCAGGCAATCACATTCCGCTGCCACAACGACAATTCATAGGTACACGCTCCTTTTTCTTTGCTTTTTTTTTTTCTCTTCTCTTTCCCTGTCTCCACTTTCACTCCCCCCTCCCCTTCCCCTCTAACCCCTCCTCTCTCTCAAGCCTCTCCTACACGTTGCTCATTACGCGTTTCGACCTCAACTCGGACTTTCTTGCACCAAAACACACATTCTGGACGAAACTAATCCCTTCCCCCTTGTGCCTCGGCGCTAAACTCTACGCTTTCACATTCCTATAATGAGTTCTCAATCCTGGGCTTCGCTGTCGGGCTATCGAGCTCTTTCATTCCCTCATCAAGGTCTTCCGAGCGTCCAGGACATCCTTTCCCCCAATGACGCCACTGCACCTTGGTTTCAGGACCACCGCTATCGTCGACCATCTTTCGCCACTCACAGCGGTGGGACCGTCATGACGCCATCAATGGGCTATCTTCACTCTTCTGGAATGCCAACCGTAGACAATGTGCATCATTCCCAGCAAGGGAGTCAACTTCCTCATGGCATGGACGCAAGCGCGCATCAACTCCGATACCCGGGCTCTCAGTCTAACGTGTTTCATACCTCGCCGTCTGACCATTCCTCGGGCTTCAATTCCCCATACCCACATTACAGCTTAAATGTAACTGGAAACGTAACGGCTGCTGCTGCTGCTGTTGCTGCCGCTACTCTCTTGACTCAAATTCCGCAACATCTCCTGCTGCGGTCCTAGACGCTAATACGGGTGTCGAAAATACGGGAAACAACTGTGCAGCCCTAGAACGAGCTCCAACGAAGCACTCTAAACGAATGGATAGACGAGGTCCTCGCGAGCGCCCGTACACGTGTATGGGGTGTGACGCTACATTCGATAGACCTAGCTCGCTCCGCACAGTACGTTGGACTCTCATTCAAAATAACCTTGCTGCCATGCTAACGTGCTTATTTCCCTGCTCGTGTTAGCACATGTTATCTCACACAGGCGAGAAGCGTACGTCTTGAGTGGAGATCCTGTTGTGATCTGCATGCTCAACCGTTTCCTTTCTTTTCTTTTTTTGTCAAATCCCTTTACATGCATCGACTTGCTGTGTGGCCGATCACCTAGCGCATCAATGTGCGCAGTGCCAAAGGCGATTCTCAGTACTCAGTAACCTAAAACGCCACCAGATAACATGTGGACGCACTCGGCGTAGAAACTTGGCTCCGTCTCCGGATCCTCGTGACAATGGTCGAAGTTCGGAAGAAGGGCCGGCCTTACGGGGAGAGCAACAACAGCAGCAGCAGCAGCAGCAGCAGACTTTAAGCGCACGAGGACCCCAACAGGTCTCACCTTCTCCTGATTCTCAATCAGGAATGCAGTTCCCAACTTTAGGTGAGAGCAACCAAACTAAAAACTCCATTCACGTGGAAGGAAGCATGGTTACTGATGGATAAAGGCAACGTGCCTCCTTGTTCCCTTCAAGACGATGTACAAAGTCGAATAGGAGCAAATATGAACGAGCCGCCACGGGCGAGTCCCTATCCTACTCATCCATCCATCCTCACTTTCCATCCCAGTGGTGACACGGATCCACTTATGAGGCCATCTTTTAATCAGTACAATTCCAGTCCCACCATCTCTTCGCATTCTTCCGATGCTGCAAGCACCCTGTCAGCCGCAACGTCCATCCCTGTCAACCATCCATCGGCGCATATCGGTCCATCAGCTCCACTTCCGCCACGCTCTCAACTCGCCCATTCTGGACTAGCGCACACACCAGCAGTGCACCATCGTTCACCTGACCCTACTTCGCCTAGCGGCGTGATAACCAATAACCCTTATCTCCTCGGAACCGAACACTCCTTATCTGGATCTGTCACGAATGACCATCAGCCGACATCGTCGGCATCAATCCAAAGTAGCAATAGCAACAGTAACAACCTCTATAACGCTCATATCCTTTCACCAACACCTCCTACTCCGCCATCGACAAACGTCAGGTCTCCTAGAAGACGTTACACACGTGCAAGGCCAAGACCTTGGCTTCCTGCTTCTCTTTCTTGTATGACGAACATCCATGAACTCCTTAATACGGCTCATTCGAAGAGTGCCGTTTCCAAAGCTGTGAACACCCTCAAACGTGTCCAAACGCAATTCGCTTCGATTCTTTGTGCACCTTTAAGACCTGTGGTGCCGTGGAGTGGGAATGGGAATGGGGGTGTGGGTATGAGCGTGCCAGATGGCGGTGGCGGTGGCGGTGGTGGCGGTGGTGGTGGTGGGTATGGTGGATGGAACTTGGAAGAGAGGAACAGTTATGCGCCTGGTGCCCCTCGTGAACCATACCATCCCAGGGAATGGAGGGATGGTGTGTCGACGTTACCCGGACCGAGGCCTTTGGCTCCGGAAGAACTTGCAAGGCAAAGTAAGAAAGGAGCCAAGCTTGGTCATTGAGTTTGGTTTGTTTGTTTGTTTTCTTTTGATGATGATGAGCATGTTTTCAGACTGATTCACTATCTTCTCGTGCATGAATGAGGGAGGAGGCTGTTCCTTTGTTCCTTTGTTTGTTTGTTTGTTTGTTTTTTCCTGCCCTTCAATGTGTGTGTGGTTTACCATTATCTCTTTTCCTTACCTACGAACGCACTTGGATAAATGATTGATGGAAAGAAACTTTTGGAGCTTGATATTGAACTACTTTTTTTCGATCGAGAGGGGTCTCGTATACGTCATCGACCAAGGACCACGAGTCTTTGTACCATTATAGTACTAACTAGATTGGCATTCGAGATGTTAATCGATACAATCGGCTAAATGAATCGGGCAACGCGAGATCTAAAGAGTGAAAGCAATAGGCAAGGCAGCAGGGCAACCAGCCCCCCTCCCCCAACACTCCCCACCTTCCCAACTCCCGTTACTGAAAAGAGAAATTCAAAGTTGTATTTGTCTATTTGACAATTGCACAGACGACAACTCAATCGTCACCATCGGACTCTTGATCCTCATCGTCATCATCGATATCCATACCTCGATTCTCCGATCTTGATCTCATGGCCCTCTCACCACCCAAGGCACCCGAACGAGAACCTGCAACACCCCCGGAAGACGCTCGAACTGGGACACTAGCAGCATTCCCGCTCCCACTCCCACTCCCACTCGCTTGTCCTGATGATGTCCCTGGTTGTTGGTCAATCCCTAATGCACGTCTCCCCTTCAGAACGACCATTTCTCTCAACCATTCATTCTCCTTACGAAGCTCCCCAGCTTCTTTCTCCAAATCTTCTGCTCGTCCAGTCAAATCTTGGATATTCCGTTCAAGATTCAATGTACGTTGTTTCTTCTTGGTTCGGAATCGCGCTGGAAAAAAAAACAAACAAACAAATGTCGGATGGATGAAATAAAAGGAAGGTAGGATTAGAAAGGGATTAGAATTTGAAAACAGATGGTCACGTACCGCTAGCAGCAGTATTCCGTCGTCTTTTTTCGTCAGCGATAGCAGCCGCTTCAGCGAGGTCATCCTCTTCAGGGCCCGAATCTGAGTGTGAGTGCGGCGCGGGAGCCGTGCCCTGAACGAGTGGGACCGAACTGGGCCCGGTCCCTGGGGGACCGCTAAAACTAAGGGTGGACGACGAGACGGGTGATGGTTGTGATGGTGGCGAATTTGAAAAGCTTCGTGGTAGACCCTGAGCCGTCGTGAATTGAGGAAGCGAACTGGAACCGGATGCATGCCCAGTGGGAGAGTGAGGGACCAATGGCGTTGTGAGAAGATTTCCCGAGCTTGCTTGTTGTTGGGCGGGATTGAAAAGTCCAGTGGGTGGTAAGAGTGGCTGGCCAAAGGAGGCGTACAAGGTCGACAGGTCGGGTGGGGGGTTCGCGAAGCCTGATGGGTGATTCGGCAGACCCGAAGGTAGGGTAGGATGCGAAGATTGGGCCAAAACTAGAGAGTGTGTGATGGGATCATTTCAATCCTGTGGGAGAACGGATAGGAATGTATTATCAAGCGTACATTGAGGTGTGTTAGATCCGGGGTTAACGATGGGAGGCAACATCCGCTGTAAGAATGAGGCTGAGGCTGAGGGTGAATCGAAGATGATTGGTGAGTGTGGTGAATTGATTGCTGTTGCTGCTGAGCGCCAAGCAATAAAATTTGATAATGGGCATTGATTACGACTTGCTGTTGTTCTGGCGATAAATGCGCCAGGTCAAAGGGAGGAAAATACAGAGACGTAGGAGCTGCTTGGGGAGCGGTAGGAAAGCCAGGTTGAGCAAAGGACCTGTAACTGTGGGCGCGTTTGCAGGATAAGTATCAGACGGAGCGAACGAGGTGGGTGGGGACGGGTGACCGTGACTTGTCGAGTATTGAATCGGAACACCCCGTCTTGGGCTTGTACCTCGTGCGGCTACGCCGGGATCACCGACACTGGTATTACGCGATGATGTTGACCCTGATTGGGTATACTGAGGATTTCCCACTGAGCGCCTTGGCTGACCCCGGCCAGATTGTCCCGCTCCAGGGGGTGGATCATTAGGCAACCTCGAATTCATCTGCATGGCGCTGTGAGGCTGGTAATATTGGGTGGGGGAGAAAAAGTATCTGCTTACTGACGACTTAAGTCGATGTTCCAACGGAGGAACTTCGTACCAATCCTCTCTTTTGACCGATCCAGCCTGTCAACAGACTTAAGAGGATTAATTTCGGGAGACGAAGAATGGTGCAATTCGTCGCGAGTTCTTAATTTTGAATTCTTGGAAGGGCCGAGCACGCTTTTCTCCCCATGCAGCGAATCTGATCCCACGCGCACACGTGTGGATCTTCGGCGCGGAATGGGCGGCACGGAAGGTTTTGGGGAGGGTGTTGATCGACCAGATATTGTCATTAGCTCTCCAAAAGGTGGATGACAGCCTGAGGTTTCACCGAAAAAAAAGTCGTGTTTAAATTGAGGTCCCGAGAAGATGCAACAAGGGCGGGCCTGCGAGTATTTATGGACACGGCAGAAGATCCGTCCGAGAATCAGGTTGGAGGTTAGAGACAGGGTGCGAGGCGGAGCCGTTGCCGACACACAAAGACGAGAAGATGCACCTATAGATAGTGGTTGTCTCAGAACCCTCCCTTAAGAGAATCAGTGAAGCCATTGGCAGCAGCATGGCGTCAATCCGACGAATAGGATGGCGCTGAAATGTCGCCACTTGGCAAAAATATTGCGACAGATCCTTATGTAAGCAAGTCGTTCGCATGAGAATATTGTTGTTGCACGTGGAGGCGATCCCAGGCGGAGTTCGAGATTTGCTCAACGCCGTAGATCGACGAGAGTGAAGCACTTGAGTGGTTAAACGGACATGCAGCCTCCTGGCCACTTCATTCTATTTGGCTCAACAGGCCCTTCGGGGTTGAAGATCATCGAGCTAGGTAATGACGTCGGAGATATTGAATGCTGATGACATTCACCTCACACTCTTTTGCTTTCATCCAAAGCTCTTTCTCGAGGAAATTATCTCACACTTTACGTGCGGTCCCCTGACAAGCTTCCTGAAGATGTACGAAACTCCCCTTTGGTCCGCGTCGTAGTCGGACAATTGGATGACGAGGCCGCACTGGAGTCGTGCTTTTCGAAACTGGAAGATTTCCCTGTAGTGAAGGGCATCATCTCCGTGCTTGGCGCAAAGGTTGGCCAGCCACAGGGAAACCCTATCACGAAAGGATACGAAATCATATTCAAACTGATGAAAATGCATGATATAAAAAATATCGTACTTCTTTCAACCGTGTCTGTAAAATCGCCCAAGGATCATTTCTCACTCGTTCGTGAGTCCCTTGTAGCAGGCATAAAACTCATAGGTCATTCGGCTTGGGAAGGTATAACTGTTCCGCTCACTTGCCCAAGAGAGTGGGATGCTAACCTCCCAACCCCCTGATAGACGTGGTGGCGACCGGAGAGCTCGTGCATTCGGAGGCATCGGATGGTCTGAACGTGACGTTGGCGCGAGTTCCAACGTTGAACGATTCCAAAGGAGGTTCATTGAAGGTAGGATTTGTAGGAGATCGGTATGTAGGATGGTTGCTTTCGAGGAATGACCTAGCGACGTTCTTTGTCGGAGAGGCCGAAAAACCCGAGTGGGCGGGGGAAATTCCACTTCTGAGCTCTTGAAAAATTTGTGTGGCGGATCTGTTCCGCCCCCTCGTGATTACGTGGCAGTGCTGCTTTCTCATTGAGGTGCTTGGGAAAAGCGATAGAGCTCATTGTACTCAACCCACATTTTGCAAGCCAGTAGTACTACTATTATGCCTGCTTGCCTTCCGGTGATCAATTTCTGAAGTGCAATCGATCGCCAAAGATCTTGTATTGAGGAGACTCCAAGTATGGTAATCTCCTACTCGGACATGTCTTTACCATCCCATTGCCACCATCTCACTCTCATCAGCTAAAATTCCGACATCGAGGGCACAAATCGCTGTACGTCTCATCACTACACTTCTTCACAATTCGTCCACATGCTTGAATCATTATTACTGTTATTCAGAAGGTACGTATTAAATATCTCGCGACACCCACCCACAGCTGCATGCTCGAATCCCTGACAATGAAAAAAGCGAAAAAAAACGTACCGAGATTGAAGGTTCATTGTGATTTCATGGTGCGGTGTCCCTCCACAGCGTTCTGCAGCGGATAGGAAGGCTGTTAACTTTACAAAAGTCTATGAAAAAGTTTCGTCATACGTCCCATCTTCGCAGTACGGACTCTTCTTCGTGAACCAGGGAAACTGCATTACCGAATGACTGCACGATTCCTTTTAATGATGCCTCCAAGAACGGGCTGAAATCCTGCTTCCAAAAACGCGACCGTATCGACGTGACCAGTCTCCTGTGAAGGACTAAATGTAGCGAACGCGATAACAAATGACAAAAAAATAGACCTTCCGACCTGAAGATCACCTTTGCATACATGATCTAGGTGGGAGGACCTAGCGCACAGGGGATTCTCAATACGTGATAAGGCACTGTATAATTTTCATAGCCTCGGCCCGTTGTCAAGTAAGCGTTGAACAGCCACTCATACAGTAATAAATCCTGTCAATGACAAAGTTGACACATTTGGCAGGCACCGGCAGTGTCACGACTCTCCGCAAGCATGCCTCTCTATGTTATGTTGAGCAGGAGAGCAACTATGAAACAGCGAACTTGAAGCTGAACCGAGGCACGCGGGAACGGCGGCCGAACAGCAAGTGATGACTCACCAAATTGAACGAAGGAAGGCCATTAATTCTCCTCATGATCAAATCCGGGTGATTTCGCTTTTGTTCCGAGTATCTATTCTGAATACCGTTTGCCCTGCCAGTGCGCTCTCACGAGCCGCCCGCCCGAAGGCTGTGAGTGAAATAGCCAACGACGACTACTACGGAAAAACGACACCGTTGAGGATGCTGCTGGACTCGATATTAACTCTTCGAGCATTGATCAGCCATTTTTCCCCGTGGCAGCGTCCTTTCGAACTGCTTGGGCAACCAGGTCTTCGAACTTCCCAGCCGCAAGACATCTCTTCGCCGCCAAAACGCATAGCCGTCGTGGGTGCCGGAACGGCAGGTCTCTCGTTCCTTAAAGTCAGCCTGGGGTACCAGCGAGAGCGTGATGTCAACTGGGAAGTTGTCCTGTACGAACAGCGCCACGATATAGGTGGCGTATGGTATGTGGTGGCGTTTTTCTTCAGTTGTCATGCATGTAGTGTTGATCGTATGAACTACAGGCTTGAGCAAGTGGTCAAGCCTGAGCCCCCTCTTCTACCAGAGACTCCGCTTTACCCCAACCTTCGTACGAATTCGCCGCACCCCGTTAGTGAGTATGCACCCCTCCCATCATTCTATCGTCGCTCTACCTCGTCAATTTTAGATACCTTTCCGAACTTCCCATTCCCCGCCGAACTGGACTTATTTCCTGGCGCGCAGTCCTTGTACCAGTACCACAAAGATGTCGTCGCGCACTACAACCTTACTGGCTCGATTCATTTGCGGCATAATGTCACTACCGCTCGCTGGTTTGGTAATGCTACCCATGGCCATTGGGGACTTACCATCCAAAGACCACGAAAAACTTGCCCATCCGGGACTATGCAGAATCCCACCCATTTTTGGTGCTCAGTCTTACAGGGCTCAGAACACGATTTGGAGACTATATACGAAAAATTCGATCACCTCATCGTGGCCACCGGTCAAAATCGGTACCCTCTTGTGGATAACTTTCCCGGAAGAGATGACTGGCTATTGAACAGTGATCCTAAGTCTCCGTTCCGGAGAGACATACGACATTCTATCTACTTCAACGGCCCAGAACCTTACGTAAATCGCACTGTTCTTATCGCCGGGGGTAGTGTTAGTGGCATGGATATTGGGAACCACATTACCCCATTCGCTGCTAAGGTACACCACTTCTATTTTGTCTCCGTTTTGCCTTGGCATAATTAATCGTGTTGGCGATAGGCATACATTGCACGATCGGCAGGGATGAAAGGCGACCCGTCGAACCATTTCCTTATTCCAAAGCCTCGATTGTCACACTTCGATCGTGATGCCATTTATTTTGAAGATGGATCCTCCGTGACAGATGTTGATAGCGTTATCCTTGCAACTGGATACCGCTATATCGTGCCGTTTCTGATTGCTGGAAATGCACTTGTTATCGACCCCAATGCAAAATCACACAACACTTCACACATCCATCCGCCCCCTCTTCTACGGCTCACGAGCAACGGAAAATACATGCATCCTCTTTACAAACATACGATGAGTTTGAGCTCCTATTTCCCTCCTAGCTCTCTTTTTGTCTTTGCACTGCCGAGGATTCCTCCACCTGCGCTCGGAGATTCTGCTCAAGCTATTTTCGCTACCCGGGTTATCGCCGATCCATCTCTCGTTGCCAACAGAATTTCACTCCTTCGGGAATTGGAGGAGGATGAGGAACGTCTTCGACGGGCAGGATATGATCCCGATAAGCGAGCACATACGCTCGTCGATCTTGGCGATCTTGGGCAAGCGTCGAACCTCTGGATGGAGAGCCTTATAGATTTCCTCAAGGAGAGGAACGTCACTGGACTACCATTGCCTGGGAGTGGTGGTCGGTACGTCGATGATTGGCGGAGAAAGCATGGGGATTTGCGTGCGCTTGTCGGAATGTTGTTCACTTGGAGGGAGGTCGAGAAACGTGGTGAATCGGAAAAGCTGCTCGCTGGGAGGAGGACAGAGAAAGATTGGGCTGAACTGCTTGACTATCTGGAGACACATCCGTTGCCTCCTACTCCCATCGAGGTTGATCCAAAAGTTTAATGAGAACGTTGCGTCACAGCTCAAAGCCTCAGCACGATATTACAATCTGTTCAGGTCAGTGCGCATTTGGGTTTGTAGACGGGCGCCTTGGTCAACTCATGATCGTGGAAAATTCAATTCGAGGGCTGGTATCATACCACTGGCACATAAGATCCCATTCTCCTTTGTGCGATTCGAAGCACTAGTTATGCATTCTCCTTGGCCGATGAGCTAAAGCTGAATGGAGCTAGCTGTTGCATCTTTCGATAGTTGCAACACATCGGAGAATAAGAACATCATAATTGCCAAAGTACATTCAAGTCCTAAGTGTATGCATTGAAAGTCAATCAGCTAGGGATGCGGAGTCCTAGACAGTTTTTCGATCCTAGAGATGAATACCATGATGGCTAAGTCCTGGGAGGATCAACGGCACCATGCTCTGCCTACTGGCCTCCTTGCCTTGCCTTGCCTTCTCACCTACATTTGGTTCATCCTTCAAACTGAGTGCATCGTGAGGCATAAGTGAACGCTCTAAAAGTATTTGGTAGGATTCCAGATCCGCCTCTTGAATCTGCTTGAATGTTTTGCATGAGAGGCCTGCCAGCCAGATATCAAAGGTAGTAAACCCGCTGAAATGATGCTGGACCTCAGGCCATTGCCTGAAGACTACAGCAGGTTCTGGAGAAGCCAAGTCAAATACCACTCGGATAACCGGCTTCAGATCCGCCGCTTCTGGCTTCGGAATCACACTTGGCCCTGGGGCCATCTTCCTTTTCTTTTTCTTGGGCTCCGCCAGCTCTGTGATATTCGGCTCCCCTGAAGCCTCAGCAAAGTCGGAGTCGGAGGTGGAGAATAGTACAGCACGATCCATCGTATCAAACAATGACGATTTGAGTGTTGCCTTGTAAGTCGGCGCATTCTTCACCTGGATGACCATGGCCGTCATAGAATCTGGGCAAAGATTTCGTGTCGTGTGACAAATGGGCAAAACAATATCAATGCCTTCTTGATTAGTCGCACACAATATCATCGCCCCACGCGTAACAAATTTCCACAGATGGTTGCTTGAGATCATCTCCTGTGTCTCGATCTTGATGACATGGTTAAACCACATGCCGTAGTCCTTGAATATCGCCTGGAATGTGTTGTCGCGATTCTTGGGCCCATCCTTCACGAGCCAAGATGTCGGGCTGGATTGAAGGAGCATCTCATAGTTCCACGTCGGAAGTAAGGCCTCCATGAAGTTGGCCACAGACACCCATCTTCTACCACTAATTTCCCGTGCTGCGTCGTATGTTTGCATGATCAGCAGAGTCGCAATTAGCTCACCACGCCGCCCACGGTCGATGCAGTTCAGATCCGAATGGTTCGCCAAATGGTGCACTGCGTTCCTATGCGTATCCCTCATGAGTTCATAGGCAGCCTCAGCCAGAAGTGGTTCGGACCCAGGAATGGTAATCAATTCCTCGAATCCAGCAGTCGCTGAGAGGCAGAGTCGCATATGCCGTTCAACCTGGACACAGCTTACAGCGTGGGCTGAAACGTCTGTGTTGAACTCCAGCGCTAAACGTACGGAGAGGCAGGCAAGGGCACCAGCCGAATTGTCGTCCCTCAGCTCATTTGGCCCGTTCAGCAGCTTCTGCCTCGCAGAATCCAGAATCGCTAGCTCATCTGGGAACTTATCCCAATAAGACCCGAATCTACTCGAGGTGGTAAGAAAGCGGCTCTCTGAAGGGATGACTGGGGTGAACATACAATGGGCGTCCGAGATGGGAAATCCAATCGGTTTCTACCACTCTGTGTATCGTAACGGTATCCTTCAATGCTGGGTACGCAAGATCGTCGAAACTGATTTCGGAAATCGGATTCAGGGGACGGTTGTCGGGTTCTCTGACCCGAGCTGAAGGATCAGAACGGATCTCTGGGGAGAATTTATTGAAGCGCCCCGCTGTCGAAAGAAAGATTGAGAATATTGGGAAGTCCTGGATTTGTCGTAGAGTTCGACGCAACTCTGAGAACAGATTCCAGTCTGTTTGACGTGGGTTATCAGTGAGGGCATGAGCCTCGTCGAAAGCGAGGACCACCAGAGGTCGTCGTGGGCCATGATTCGATTCCAAAATCTTATGTTCATCTATGAAGCGACAGAGGCTTTCGCCTGCATCGAGTGGGCCCTTTCCTGCCTCTTGCAGGCCCTTGCCTCCCATAACGTACCATCCATATTGCCGTTCTGCTTCGTCCTTGACCCATGTGCTGCCTTGCACAAACTCGAGAAAACGTCATTCTCACAAAAACGGTGAAGGACAGGAATTTACCTCATCGGCCAACTTGATTACCTCATCGTAGAAAGTGTTTCGATGGGTACCCGAAGCATGATATAATTGACCCGTAGTCATATGCTCGCGGAAGGCAGATGCCAGCCTCCTCTGGCGATCTACAACCAATGGCATATAGTCCTGCAGCTTTTCTTTTGACGATTCCCAATTTAAACTTGGTAACTCCATATCTGCAAAGCCATTAGCAAATAATCCGATGAGGGGTCGGAAGATAATCACCTTGTTTCTCTGACACGATGGTCTTCAGTGTTCTGAGAGTGACCACTAAGAGAGAAAACAAGAATCCCCGTAACCTCTTCTGAACGGTATCCCTATTGCGTATCTGAGAAACAAGCCAATCACGGAGTTTCATATCGGGAGGAGGCATTCCTATGGAAGTCGGATTAAGCCATACTTATAAAGAAAAGGCAGAACGAAGGACCTTTGATTCCCGGACGTAAACACATAGGCACCGTTATAATTTCCTTGCCAAGCTCGTCCACCATACGAGACTTGCCGGTTCCAGATGAATTTATGATAGTCGTTAGCCTAGCATAAGGAGTTTTATCCTTGGAAAGGTCATCCGCAATAGTTTCGAAAAGCACATTTGCGAGGTCGCCTTTGAATTCACCGCTCCATGCCTGTGTGGTGGCTGTTGTCCGAGTCAGAGGGGGTCAACAAAAGGATTGAATTCACTGCGCACCCAAAGCTGAGTTCGAAGTGTAAATTAACTCAGCCTCAGATTTCAGAAAAGCCTCTTAAGACAGAATATGATAACCAAGTGCTTGGCATCAAAAGGTAGAAGGCAATGCACCATGTTTAAATAAATCACTCCAGGGAACCTGGTTGTTCGCCATACTGAAAAGCAACTTGACAAGTTCCAGCTCTTCATTGCTCCCAGGCTTGACATAAGCATCGAATTCGGTCTCATTTCTAAGACGGCCCTTTAAGTTTGGATCAGTGGCAAGAGCCCGGTGGACAGTGAACCAGGCACGGCCCAGGTTTCGCCGAACCCGATCGACATTGTCATCGGGTTGAAAGCTTCGCCCAAGGTAATAAGAAGCGTCCTCCAATGCGGTGGCACTATTAGATGGATGGAGTTCAGGTGAACCCCCAGGCACCTGCTGAGGCCTCTGGCTGGAGGACATGATTTTGGGAGGGGAGTTGGGATGGCCCATGACATGCGTGACGCGTAACGGAGGGTCCTCTGTAACTTAGGGTCCTTTTTTCCCATTCTGACCATACGACTGACAGCAGAGATATCTCCGTGTCTTCGCTTTGTAAAGTCCATCTACTTACTACCTAAGGTGTGCTCTTTTTTTTTTAAAGCATAAGGCTTGACATTTGTATGTATAGGAGCTTAATCGCATTTATGACGTTTGTCACGGCAAGGGGTGATACAGTCGAGTCCGGCCAACTCCGCTATAGCCTATGCAATAATCACCGGGTGGGGAGCGGCCCAAGGGCAAAACGGGTACAACGATTTAGCGCTTGCGAAAAACGACAGATGCTGGTGGACTCGATATTAACCATCCCAGCCTTGATCGGCCGTTTCTTGTCACTGGCAGGGCAGTACCATCCGTTTGGAGTACCTGGACCTGAGCCGACTCGTTTGCAAGACAGTTCCTCGTCGCCAAAACGCATTGCTGTCGTGGGTGCCGGAACGGCGGGTCTTTCGTTCCTGAAGGTCAGCCAGGACTATCAACGGGAGAACGATCATGTCAGCTGGGAAGTTGTCTTGTACGAGCAGCGTCACGATATAGGCGGTGTATGGTATGTTGCAATCCATCATTTTTTTTCCCAGAGACTTCACAGATGTGATGCATACATTGCTGACTGTAAAAGAACTAACAGGCTCGAACAAAAGGTCAAGCCTGAGCCTCCTCTTATACCAGAGACTGCGCTTTATCCTGACCTTCGCACGAATTCGCCTCATCCCATTAGTGAGTTTACACCCCCTCCTGTCATCAACCTATTTCCCACAATTAATGTTTTCATCTCATCCATTTCTAGATACTCATCCCCACCTCCTCTTCCCTCCCGAGCTGAACTTATTTCCACCCGCACAATCCATGTACCAGTACCACAAAGATGTCGCTGCGAACTACAATCTCACTGGCTGGGTTCATTTGCGGCATAATGTCACTGTCGCCCGCTGGTCCGGTAATGCCACCCACGGCCATTGGGAGCTCACCATCCGAAGACCACGAACAAGCCTGCCTGTGACTGCGCAGGAGCCCGCCCGTTTTTGGTACTCGGTCCTGCTGGACCCGGTAGATGAATTGGAGACAATATACGAGAAATTCGATCATCTCATCGTGGCCACTGGTCAAAACCGGTACCCTCTTGTGAACGACTTTCCCGGAAGAGATGACTGGCTATCGAGCAGTGACCCCAAATCCCCGTTCCGGAGGGATATACGACATTCTATGTACTTTATGGGTCCAGAACCTTATACAAACCGCACCGTCCTCGTCGTCGGTGGTGGTGTCAGTGGCATGGACATTGCGAACCACATTACCCCATTCGTTACCAAGGTACACCATTTCCATTTTTTTTCTTGTCGACTTTTTTTCTGGTATAACTTGTGTTGTTGTGATAGGTATATATCGCACGGTCGTCGGGAAGGAAAGGCGACCCCTCGAATCCATTCATTATTCCGAAGCCTCGATTAAGAAACTTTGATCGTGATGCCATTTACTTTGAAGATGGATCCTCTGTGACAGATGTCGATAGCGTTATTCTTGCAACTGGATATCGTCATATTGTTCCCTTTCTGAGTGCGGGAGATGCACTTGTCATCGACCCGAAAGCAAAATCACACAACACTTCACATATCCATCCACCACCTCCTCTGCCACTGACGAGCAACGGGAAATACATGCGCCCTCTTTACAGGCACACGATGAGTTTAAGTTCGCGCTTTCCTCCTAACTCCCTTTTCGTTCTTGGGCTGCCAAGGACTCCTCCACCTGCCCTCGCCGATGCTGCCCAAGCTATTTTTGCTACTCGGGTTATCGCCGATCCATCTCTCGTGGCCGACAGAATTTCGCTCCTTCGGGAATTGGAGGAGGACGAGGAACGTCTTCGACGGGCAGGATACGATCCCGATAAACGGGCCCATTCGCTCATTGATTTTACCGGACAATGGCAAGAAGCGAACATCTTCATGGATGGTATCATAGATTTTCTCAAAGAGAAGAACGTCACTGGGCTACCGTTACTTGGAAGTGGTGGTCGGTACGTTGAGGATTGGCGGAGAAGGACCGACGATTTGCCTACACTTATCCAGATGTTTTTCACTTGGAGGGAACTTGAGAAACGTGGTGAAGCGGAAAAGATGGTTGCTGGGAGGAGGACGGAGGAAGATTGGATTGAACTTCTTGATTATATGGCGGCACATCCGTTACCTCCTACCCCCGACGAGTCTGATCTAATCATTTGATCCTTGCAAAAAAAGTCTTCTTAGTACAGTAGATACAATATTAGGGTTTTCAGTGCCTAGTCGCCCGAGAGCTATTGTAATTTTACCATCATAACATTATCGCACTCCCATCTACTTTAGTAGAGGCTGGGATCCTGCCTAGCGCTCCGATGCCTGCTGGGTCAACTCATGATCGAGGAAAATTCAACTCTGGAGTTGTTGGCATCACAGCCACTTGCTCATTGATCTTGTTCGCGCGTCCAGTTGCCGTCTCGGCGATGGTGCTTGGCTAATGGGTTCGTAGTAGAGGTAGAAGCTGCCAACTCAGCCTTTCCTGGCCTGCGCAGCCGTGGGCGACGGGCATCACAGCTCGTGTTCGCATGCTCAAGAACCCGGACTCTGGTTCCACGCTCAAATTTTGTTGGAGAGATGCTCGGCGACTTCAAGTCAGTGGTCACCTCTCTCCGCCGCTCTTTTTGGGACCACTTACTTTGACTCGATATGCTCCAAATGAGCCTATTGCTCGGCAGAAACCTCATGGGCTTGGGCATGTTACATAAGAAAGTTAACGCTGTTGTCGGTGACGGAACGGCCCACTGGACAGAGCTCCTTGAAATTAGTCTCCGAGTTTCAAGGAGACCAGCAGAGGACATTGAGGACACCTACAAGGGCTTTGTCCGGCATTCCTGACGAGGAGCAAACAGAAACAACTCAGGTACTAGGAGGTTTGTCCTTGCGCGGACAACACCTCACTATTGGGGTCATAGTCATATAATAGGTTCTATATCTCCCTCGCAGGTGAATCGTATGGAAGAACATACCTGGGCGTCCTAAGGCGGGCGTTTTAAGAAACAAGGCGTGGGGCTCGAGGGCGTCGTACTACGCGCATGACATGATGCTACCTCGGGCTGCCAGATCGGTGGATCTGCTGGAGTGTCAACAACTGAATGACCAATCATGAACGCTTGAGGCAGCTAGCGGGTTGAAGTTGCGTCTTTCGAACGCTCTATGGCTACAGCAGGAAGGAAGTGAGGGGTGGAAACCATTCCCCGAGAACTTCGTCCGTGGCCATTGAAGTGACTGGTCGCTTAAGGGTCACTTGGCTTCCATCGTTAGATCTTGCTTCAGGCTTGATTTAGTGGTTTCGCACGGATTTAGGCGCCGCAAATCCGCTGCGGAGTTGAGTCCAATACGGACTCGATATTCCGTTCCGTCAAGATGTCATCCACAATTGGCTTGATCTGATTTGATCGCATATATATCGGGAATAACTCGACGATCGACATTTTGGGGAGCGCTTATTGTTACTTAACGTACTATAGCCGCATTTAGTCAGAGTAGTGGACGCGGGCTCCGTACCTCCTTGGTGGAATTTGTGCTCCTGTCGCCATGGCTGGTCCGGGTCGTACTCCTGTATACACTCGTGTCAACATGGCACATCCGGCCCGTCCGTCAATTTGAGGATTTTGGTCAGCGTGGGTCACTGAGAAAATCTGGTTGAAAAAATCCACTCCTATCCGCACCGCTGATCCATCCTCTGCAGTCGATGAGGGAATTTGGTTGGGAAAAAGTCCACTCCTGCTGGCATGGCAGAGTGTGTATTTGGATTTTTAAAAAAATGTCCACTCCTGTCAGCACGGCTGCTCCCGCCCTTTCCGTCATTGGTTGGAAAAATTCCTCTCCTGTCAGCATGACTGATCCGTAATTGAGGGAATTTGGTTGAAAAAGTCCACTCCTGTCAGCACGGCCGTCATTAATGTGAGAGGATTTGGGTAAACAAAAAGCATGGCTGGTCCGGTCCCTGCGACATTGAGAGAATTTAGTCAAAAAAGTCTACTCCTGTCAGCGTCCCTCGTCTGGCTATTGTACCATTGAGAGAGTTTGGTTCTTCCTGTCGGTATGGCTGGTCCGGCCTCGACCTCTATATCTTGGGGGCTGGTTACCCTGTACAAGTCACCGCGTGTTTCCTCACTCTCGCACCTCTTGCAGGCTTGCCAAAGATGCTGCTCAAGTCAATCTTGGCACTCCCAACCTTGCTCGGTGATCTTCTGTTATGGGGGTATTCGCTTAGAGTGCCCGAGCAGCAAACTCTCCAAGTCCATCAGTCGCCAAAGCGCGTAGCTGTCATAGGTGCCGGAACCGCAGGTCTCTCGTTCCTCAAAGTCGTCAAAGACTATAAAGCAGGGTATAATCTCGACTGGGACGTCGTCCTGTTCGAGAAACGTCACGATGTGGGCGGCATATGGTGGGTGCTACATTTGCTATCAGGAGTTCTTGCTGATCTGTAAGAACTTGACCCCCAAAGGCTTAAACAAGAGGAAAAACCTGGACCTGAGAAGGCTTCCTCAGGCTGTCTACCGGAGACTCCGCTTTACCCTGGGGTTTATACGAGTACGCCACATCCTTATAGTAAGTCAGCGTACTGGTACCTCCACGATATGGAAACCAACGGGATCGTCTCATCCTTTCTTAGATACCCTTCCTGGCATCCCCTTCCCGGCCAAGCTCGACTTGTATCCGCCGGCGGAGGAGATGTACAAGTACCACAAAAACCTCTTCGAGAACGAGCTCAAAGATGACTTTGAACAAAAAGTCAAGTGGCAGCATGAGGTCACCAAGGCTCGCTGGGTCGGTACCGCTGAGAGTGGTCAATGGGAACTGACTATCCAAAAGCCGAAAAGCGGCGAATCGGCGCAACGGTTTAATCGTTCTTCGTTCTCTGCTGCGTGTACCCCGGAGTCCGAAAAGGAGACGATACAAGAGAAATTTGATCATCTCATTGTCGCCGTCGGTCAAGCTGCGTACCCTCGAAAAGCTAAATTCAGGGGAGAGGACGAGTGGCTTTCCAAAAACGATGAAAAGTTGAAGCTTCCGAGGGAGATACGACATTCGATCTACTACATGGGCCCAGAACCTTACGCTGGTCGCACCGTTCTTATCGCCGGGTCTGGTGGTGGTGGTGAGGATATTGCACGGGACGTTAACAAAAGCGCTAAAAAGGTACGAGCCCTCCCCCGGTTTCCATTTGTTTGTCATTGTCTCCTATTGTAACTGAGTTTTTGTCGGTGATAGGTATACATTGCACGATCGTCAACGAACCAGTGCCCGCTTAATGGTGATCCTATCTCAGTGGGTCGATTATCATACTTCAAGGAGGATGCCATCTGCTTCGTGGACAGTGAGGGGGCAACCAAATGTGAGGAAGACATCGATAGCGTCATTCTCGCAACTGGATACGAAACGAAAATCCCCTTCCTCACAAAAGGAGGTGCACTTGCCGAGCATTCAGATAGAAGGTCATGCAACACCGAATATATCGATGATCAGAAGCTCTCGACCAACGGTAACGGAATACACCCTCTTTACAAACATACTATGAGTTTAAGCTCCGACTTTCCTCCTGACTCCCTTTTCATCCTTGGGCTACCAAGAGATTTCCCACCTGCACTCTTAGCCGTTGCCCAATCAATCTTCGCCACTCGAGTGATCAAGGACGGATCTTTCGTGAACAGAGACGCGCTCTTCCGGGAATTGGCGTGTGAAGAGACACGTCAATGTAGTCAGTGCCCCCGTGATCCAAGGAAGCGGTGCAAGTATGATCCATTCCAGCGGGGACATCGACTCGTCGAGGTTGCGGAGCGAGACGAATCGAACATCCTCATGAACGGTCTGGTAGATTTCCTCAAGCAGAAATGTGCGACCGAGTTGCCATCATTGCCCGGGACCGGAGATCGGTTCGTCGATGATCGGAGGCTTAGAGTGAATCGTAGGAGTGTGATTCCAAGGATCAAATGCTACTGGGACAACCTTGAGGAAGAAGAGAGGAAGAAGCTTCTTGAGCGAAGGGCGAACGAGGCTGATTGGTTTGAACTAGTTAATGGTTTGATAACCCTTTCCGATCCGACGATTCAGTGCAAAAAAGCAACGGGGGGCATCCAGGATGTTTAGGGTAACACCCCCAGCACCTGCATTTGACACGGGGGTTAAACCCCCTCGCTCTTTCTTTGTAATTTCTTTGCCATTATAATCTCGTCTCCATACATAAATGTACTTATACTTGACATACGCATGTGTCTGGCCTGGATTCGAAAACCCAACGCCATGGACACTTCGAAAATCTTATCCCTCCGATATTTAGAGTCACTTGTAGTATAGCTGCTCATCTGGTAAGATGGCAGGCGCATTGCAAGGCAAGAAAGATGCTGCAGAGAGCGGCAGCTAGAGGACCCGGGGGGGTGGAATATTCCAGCTGTATATACTGGACCAAACGAGTTAAACTTCAAATTAGGTCTCCAACAGTTGAACGTGAAGTTCACGTAAAAATGACGTCGACGCATTGATTTGTTTTGGAAGCAAGAAGATTCATGGTAGTAAGGTTGTATAGTAGGCGCGGTTGTTTGTAACAGGTGGGTGACCAGAAGAGACACCGATAAACAACCAGGATCGACCGTCCTCTGGCAGCTCGTAAGTACCTCAGTTAGGCAGTGTAGCTCGGTAATGAGGATTTTAATTGTGAGCGAGGGCAGTAGGCGCGTTGAGACTTCTGTTTCCTTCGTCGTTTTGAACCCACACCATGAAATACTAGAAAAGAAAAAGAATCCGGAATTCGGGTGGCTAGTGAGACTGTGAAGACCTCCACTAGATGGAGACCTCAAACATGCCAAGATCAGGTTTCTGCGGCCAAAGTTATATACCACTACTGTTGAGACCCACAAAGGGTTAGACAGGCTGAAGACCTGAAGACCCACATAGTCCGATCCCGCAGCGCAACACGCACAAACACCACCAAGCCAATACAGAAAGGAACTCAAAAAAAAACCCACGGGAAACCAACAAGGGACAACACACAAAAGTGGAGGAGGGAAAGACGGTATCAAGACAGATGAAACAGCCGAGGGCCCCCTGGCCTCGTCAAGTGTTTCATAACCCAGGAAAGGATAACGAAGACGGTATGGGGCGGGCAACAAATATGCACTTCGCTACAGTTCATTCTATATAACGGCTTCGATAGATTCAAAGAATATAAAGTCCGCTCAGACGAGGTACTATCAAGTACTGGAGCCTGGGGACCTTTCTCCAGTAGCATGTTATTTTCCTGATAGTGAGGGCACCTCAGGGTGGCGCAAGAGACGCACTAGTGGTGCAATCTTGGAGGGAAGCAGGGTCAGGCCTGATAAGTACTCGCACTCCAGGGTGGCAGGGAACACATTTCTGTCCAGGGATGTCGCACAGGGAAGCATTTGACAAGTGGCACGCTTGTCAGAACCGTGCGAATCTTCGCCGATGGTAGCCGTAGGCGACCGAGCGTTGCCCGCTAGTGGAATAGGCGTCCTACACACGACCGAGCTTTAGCGAGGAATAAACCCCACCGATCTCGAGGCCGAGGCTACTTAGGCAAGTGAGCCGGGATTTCGGCTTCAACGACTCGAGGAGGAGTGTTGCACCTCGTTCTCGATGCGGTCCATCAGGAAATTGTCGCAGTCAACTTTGGACACTTCTGATGATCCTGTTGCTTCTAATACAATGAAACTGGCCGAATTGACCAATTTCCCAAAGCATTTTAGTAAAGGTGTCACGTTTCAATTCAGTTCAGAAGTGAACTCAATTGTTTTCAAACCATTTGAAGTGAAACCCTGAGGACCTTTTGCTGATGTCCCGATACTTCAGAAGGTTGGAGGTCTTGTGGGGGACAGAGGTAAGCTTAGGGGGTGAATTCTAGTTGATTTCGAACTACAGTACAAGCATTAGTTACAAGCTGTATATAAGCGCTAGGAAACTGAATAGGGAATAAGTTGCCAGATCTCGCGGAGATTGTGGGCGGAGAAAAGAAGGAGGAAATGTTAGACACTGGTCCGGGGTCGGCACCAAAGGTCGCCGATGCGGGCCGCTATTGGCCGCAATGGCCGCGATGCCTCAGACAAGGCCCGAGGGTAGGGCATTTGGCCTCAGCAACTCTAAAGGGAGTGCTGTGCCCCCTAGTTGTCTCTTGGCCCTCATTTCGAACTTACTGGGGCTGCCTTGTTGGGGTCAGGGCTTGGGGTCGTGGTCAAGTCGATATTAGAGCTAAGGTACTATAATGTAGTATACAGGATATATATATGAAGGTGAAAGGAATAGAAGCGGACCCGGGCCGAAGGCCGAAGGGTCCGGAAGCAAATAGGAACAAAGAGCGGGGTTGGCCGCACCGCGGCCGGCAATGACCGAGGGTCAAAACAAACAATAACAGATAAATAAACGAAGGGGTGTAGGGCCACGATAGCGGCGATGGTATCATAGCGGAGTAGGCGATGTCGCGGAGTCACGCTAGGTCGGTACCAGAGGCGGACTCGGGGCAGGGAGGTCGGTGTGGCTGTGGGGGAGTCGGCCAGGTGCAGGGGAGCCTAGGGGCAAGCGGGGAAGTGAGCAGGGGGTCCTCAGGGAGGATAGGGCTGAGGTCGGGGCTCGCGCTCACGCTCGCATAGCGGTAACGGGCTCGGGCGGCATCGGGACGGGCGGCTAACGGGCCGGAATGCATGGTCGTGACAGGAAAACAAACAAAGAGCACGTGTTCAAGACAGCGAAGGTCAAGTGTGACCTTCGCCGTGAGGTAACAGGGTGCGGCGAAACATGGGACAACAGGTCGCAGCGCTCTGCACCGCTAGGTCGTTCAACGACAATCAAGAGAGGGGTTGTGGAGAGGTGGTGGGAAGTGGTTAGACGGCGACGGGCAGTGAGCGGAGTGTGCGGGGAGTGTTCAGGCGTGGGAGAGGGTCAGGGAGGAGGTCGTCTGGCCCTGGGGAACGACGGGTCGTGACAATGCTGCAAGGAAAAGGTCCAATCCTGCCAAGCACAGGGCCTCTGTTAGAAACTGGTGAGAACAGATCGAGTCCCCCCCATAGCCAGATTCGCACTGTTACCTTTTGGGAAGCACCATAGAGTTCCAACCCTTGACCCTTGTGTAAGGTCGGTTGAGGTTCCGACCTTGGTGTTGACTCCTGCTATCCTCAAGCTGTCAGGAATTAGGCAGTATAGAGCTGTAATTTCGACAGGGGAGGAGAAGAGTGAAAACCTGTTTCACCCTTCCCCGCAATTTATATACATTGTTTACATCGAGAAATAAAGAGTAATAAACAATGAATAAAGAAAGCGTGCACAGCACACATCACCACACATCCATTCCCTACACCTTGGGTCATCAGCAAAAGTCCGTTATGCTCCAGAGCATCAGGAGTGGCTGGAGCATGTGGGAGACAAAACAGCAGATTGGGCACTCCTGGAGCCAATAGTGTTCTCCTGGGAGGGGGTTCAGGAGCGGCTGGGAGTGGTGAGGAGTATGTGTTGATGAGCGACTTATGATCTCGGAGCTGGACTATGAGTAATGACTCAGTCTCAGCCAATATGCGTGAAGAACTAGATATATTACCTATGAGTAATGACTAGAGGTAATATACATAATATAAGTTACAATGATAAAGCAATGAGGGAATGTAACTAACTAACCTCAGTCTCAGCCAATATGCGTGAAGAACTGAGGGAAAAGGAAATGAATTCAAATGAATGAATATGTCCGTGGCCTGGCACGGGTTAGTCCAAAATAGGCAAAAGAAGGTGTTGTGACTAAGCAGTCACATGGTGGATTCTGGGCGAGTTGCTCTCCCAGAATATTCCCATGCTAACGCAGGAATGTGGCTGTTCAGGTTAACTCCGCTGGAGTACCCTCATAGCACACGGTTCCTCCAACACGCCCACTACGTGTGCGCCCACTGGAACTAGTCCAGGTGAGTTTCCAATGGCTCCTCCAGAGTCATTGTTAGCAATAAGCTGAAATCCTGCTATCCAAAAAATGGACGCCCAGATCACACAAGTCCAATGTGAGACGTTGTCGAAGAAACAACAAAAAGCAAGATAAAAGATAAAAGATAAAACGGGGTTTGAAATCGGTGAGCATCTTCATTCACCCTCAAACAGCCTTAAGCTGTTATCCCCGTGGATCGGCCTACTGATTCTGCTTTTCAGCAAATCTAACTCGGCCCTTGCGCATTCGCGCACTGATCGGTGTTTTCGATCGACATTCCGCATTGATCTCGACGATCTTTGCTCCCCGGTTTGAGGTTTCCCTCAATCTTGTCTCCCCTCGACGACTCTGAGGGTCTCCGGTTGTATGCGGTGCGGGTTTCTTGTCTCTTGTCAATCGGTGTGTCAATTTCGCTCCATCCATGATTTCTTCGCCCACTGAATGATCATCCTCTGATAGATCCTTGGCCTTCATGGCCCTTCCCTTCAAGTATGACGTCGATTTCTCTTTCGGGATTGGATAGGGGTGGATGGGCAGGCTGCCGTTGACTTGGCAAGCCAGTGTTCGCGGATCCGGCATCATCGCTGTCGATCCGGATGTTTGGAATGGTTTGGACAATGGAGTGAATGTGGAAGATCGATCCTGATCAGGGATCAGAGTATTTGTTGTGGGATGAATATGGCGATTCCATGAGGTTGGCACAGGTGCGACCTTGCCTTCATTAACCTCTAATTTCCCCCTTGAAGCGTCATCATTCTGACCATAACCCTTATCCTTAGGGCTCATTCCCGCTTCATCTTCGCCGTCGGTTCCCTCTCTTTCCTTTCCAATTCCATATCCTTCGAGAATCTCGTCAAACCAATCCGAGGCAGCAAATTGCCTCATTCTCTCGCTGTGGTCAGGCAGCGGTTCTACAGCCGATGGAATATCATCATCGCTGTCTTTCGCTGTCAAGGATGTGCCAAATAGCTCGCCATCATCGCCTTTAGCGCCCACTGAAGTTGCCATTTCGGTTTCTGTTGAGGAATGACTTTGGCACTTCGCGCTTGAGTCCATTTTTGGGTTTTCACAACATCCACTTGAGGACTCCTTGGGTTTCTGGCGATAGAGTCGATGGTGTCTGAGATCTATGGCGATGGGCTGTTTTGTGCACGCTCTTAGCCTCGGTTTCGGC